CATTGCTTTCTCTGGCGAGGCTGGTTGAGACTCACAGGTTCTCCTCCGCTTTCACAGATTCACCTTTCTTTAGTTTGTTTTTCTTTTTTTAACTTCTGAATTATATTTTAGGGCACCATGATTTACAATATTGATAATGGCAGGATTTCATGCAAAAAAAAAAAAAAAAAAAGAATTCCAACACCACAGCCTCTACCAGTGTCAGTTTCCTGGCTTCCTTCACTATGTACCAGTTTCCAGTTCCCATCTTCTCATCGCCCCCAACGGTGACATGCCTCCTATTAACTTTACCCCTTTGTACCTGTTGAAATGAGTAGATGGATTATTATCATTACAGTTTTTGAGAAAATGTAAGGGAGAAAAGAGAGACGAGACAATGACTAAAAATGCAAAGAGAGGAAAACTTGACTTTGAATATATCCCGCCATACCTTTGTCTCTGCAACACTCTTCCCAATTCTTTGATGAACTTCAACTGACCATTCAAGTCGTGGTGCAGGGCACCTCACTGGAAACATGCTCTCAACCCTCCACCCCAATCCCAATAGGGTGAGCTATATGCCATTCTACTAACTTACTTACCCATAGGACTCGAAGTTTATTTTATGAATGATTGAACACTAAATAAACTACTATATGCTAATACCAATATAATAGCCTCTCTTAAAATAATGACTTTGCCACTTTGAAACAAACAATTGAGAATTAAAAAATAAAGATGAATACTGATATCATATTTTATGCTCCACAAATTCTACATAAACTTGATCGTTTGTTCACTAAATTTTAGTTTATTGAAAGAACACCATTGCTTTAAGAAAATGTGAAGTACTTCAAAACTTAAGCATTGAAAAGAAACCTTGGAATCATTAAAAAGAGGTAATTCTAAAACTCATCAAAATACATTAACTGAGAAAAAGGTAATGATTGCTATTTGTTTCTTAAAAATGAAAAAATATGTGGTATATATGCAAATTTATTTACTAGACATATAATAAATCATATGTTTATTTTTAAAACATTGCTATTAAAAATTAAAAGCACTGTTAATTTTTAAAACATTCGGTAGCACTGTAGCACTGTCACCCTGTTGTTCATGGATTTGCTCAAGTGGGCACCAGTAATGTCTCCATTGTGAGACTTGCTGTTACTGTTTTTGGCATAGCAAATATGCCACAGGGAGCCTGCTAGGCTCTGCTGTGCGGTGGAAAACTCTTGGTAGCTTACCGGGCTATCCAAAAGGGACAGAGGAATATTTGGTATTATTTTTATTTATATTATCTAGGTCTCCATGACTCTTGTATTGTTTTGTTCTGAGGCTACACCTAGCCATTCTCAGAACTTACCTTTGGCTCTGTGTTCAGTAAACACTCCTGGTAGGGCTCAGGGGAAAGTATGGGTGAGTGCAAGAAATAAAACCCATGTTAGTCATGTGCAAGTCAAGCACCCTACGACCAACAATACTATTTCTCCAGCCCCTGGGTCTACATGACTTTTACAAAAAAAAAAAAATTAAAGAGATGATCTACTTCCTGTAATTATAACTATTTTCATATCCCTTTCAATGAAGACAGAATTTCATACATTTTTATGTCACCACAGCATAATAATGAGAAACATAGTTGGTGTTCAAGGAATATTTATGAACCTGAACAGGACTATACTTGCCATCTGTTTGAGTTTCTTCTATCCCAACATATTGACTCAGGGGCAAGAGAGATAAGGCACTTGCTTGTAAGCGGCTGTAGCTGCGACCCTGGCTGGAATCCTGGGTACCACTTATGGTCCCCTGAGCACTGTCAGGTGTGGTCCCCAAGTACCCCTCCACCCATATGAAAACAAAGTATTGACTTTTCATAAGCCCCTTCCTCAAATCCCTTTATTTCATATTATTTTACCAAAGCACATGCTCTGAAAATAACTAATCAATTAGAGTTTGTTTAACTCAACCAAATGGCCTCCCATGAGCATGAAATACAGCTGCAAATGCAGGAATAGTGATTTTACTTTCAGTTCTTAGGATTCATTGTCAATTATCACTCAAATATTATGCAAACTTTGACATTAATCATGTCTAAGAAAATGATCTTTGTTCTGAAGATACAATAATGAGAATAAATTCAGTTTCTGTATTGAAAGGATTAAAATTGCAATCTTCCAGAGAAAAGAAGCACAAATGCACCGATTCTCATTCTCCCTTTGCATTCTCACATACCCTATTCAAAGGTATTTCTCATTTTAACTCGAATAGATGCTCAATGAATACTTACCAGTTAATTGCAAAAATCTGTTAGAAAGGTACCTAAAGACTAATACTACTTGCACTGGCAGGGGAGTAACTAGTTAATCTTTTACATTTTTTTCTACATTGCTAAGCAGTTTTTGCCAAACCCTTTAAAAATAGAATTAATTAAGCACATTCCATTATGGTATCACCCATATCCTAATCTCAGGTGTGTAATTTCTCCTCTTACTCTATGGATTGCCCTCTTCTCTCTCTTTTCTTATAATTACTAAAAAAAAAATAACAACAACAAAACATGACTTTACTTCACACATGCATACACACACACGCGCGCACACACACACACACACACACACACACACACACACACACAGAGAACAGAATGAGGAACTAAGATATCAGAACATACCAAAGCCCCTTCCATGTGTCATGAAATAATGATAGTTCTTATATGAATCTCTTCATATTTGACAAATACCAGAGAACGAATGAAACAATTCAAAAGCCCATATCCACAATAAAAATTTTTATTTGAATGCAGCAAGTCATAAACATCCCAAATCAGGAGTCAGGTAGTCACTGAAGAAAACAGTGTGAAAGAAGTAGACTGCCAAAACCAAAAAACAAAAAGTTCACACATAGGAACTGGGGCAGGAGTGATAGAAAAGCAGGAAAGGCGCTTGCCTTGTGTGAGGCGCACCCAGGTTCAATCCCTGACATCCCATGTAGTCCCCTAAGCACAGCCAAGAATGATTCCTGAGTGCCAGGAGTAACCATGAGTATTGCTGGATGTGGTCCCCAAAACAACAACATTAACAACAACACAACAACAAAAAAGGAACCAGTCCTTGGTGGGTTTATACTAAGACCAGGTCTGAACACTGAACAGATGATAGCCTTTAAAATTAACTGCTGGGGTAACAGAGGGAAGTATACTGGAAGAGAAGACACCTTTGGGGACTAGATGACAGAGTGAAAGAAAACAGCAGGACACTAAAATTAAGGAATTTCCCTGAAACAAGATACCTCTGAATTGAAAGATATCATATATCCACATCTACCCCCAAACTGAGCCATGTAAAAAAAGTACATTTCATTGTATCCATAAAACAGGAAGCTCTGGAACCAAGAACCAAATTCCACTATGTAGAATGTTATGGTATTCCTATTTTTGGAAAATATTATACATATATTTTGGAAGCCTTACAGAAAATTTTATACATAAATTTTAGAAGTTCTAAAGTTGACTGTATTAAAGTTTAAACACAAAATACTGCAAAATAAAAACTCTTACTTTATGTATCTATATATCTTCCATTATACTTTTATTCATCTTTCCCAAAAGATATTTTTTAAAAACACTAACATTAAGGAATTGAATTTAATAAGCTATTTCACAAAACACTTGTCAGTTCTAACAAGGGTCAAAAACTGTCTGCATGTGAAAATATACTAGTGCACCTACTATCCTCCCCAACACTACCCACATCCTGCTAGTGACAGGAAGCTGGAGATAACACCCTCCCAAAATATCTGCTTGTGTAAATCTAAATCCTGTCCGGGTATCTATGTTGGTATTTAAACTTCCACAGGAAACTTTGTCATGGATCACTAAGCCCTGAGATGATCCCTTTGTGTGTAGCTCTCCTGATAGATACATTTTGCAAACCTTTAGTGGGGCCTTTTGATCTCTGGCCTTTTTCTTTAAAGAGTAAAACTGTCTGCTTCTCAACTTTCTCTGTCATATTATTACTTGCCCCCCAAACATAGAAAGTGGGTCGAAACCTAGGAGTACCATCTACAACCCAGCTTCTACCACTTTACCACACTGTGGATGAGTAACTATCTAAAAATGCCTAAATAAAAAAAGAATCAAACTTAAGCCATATTCACCTGAGATTTAAAACAAACAAACAAACAAAAATCAAACAATACTTTTCATATACAAAAATGCTTCCTGACCTAAAAATTCTTAGCAAGGAATACTGAACATTAGCAAACACTTTATTAAATCATATAAAAAGAGAACTGCTAACATTCCTGGAGTAAAAATTCAACTAATGCGGACCCACTGGTATTAGTTGTATTTTTGTAGTGCTATCACAATATATAAAAGTGGATACAGAAAGTAATTTTAGGAGCCACTGGGAAGGAAAGATTATCGAGCATTTTTTGTTTGCTTGTTTTGTCTGGTTTTGGAGTCCTACCCAGAGGGACTTGGGACTTACTCCTGGCTGAGTACTCAGGAATCACTCCTGTTGGGGCTCTCGGGACTATATGGAATGCCAGGGATCGAACCTTGTCAGCTGCTTGTGAGGCAAGTGCCCTACCCTACCCACGTTCGCAAAACGTTTAACATTCATTGGGACCAGTGGTTCCCAAAACAGGTCATGTAGTCTCTGGGATTGATCTAGGGAGGCAGCAGTAGCTGTGGGTGCAACCTGCGGTTGGAGGGTGCTTCCTATTCATCTAAAGATACATTTCTAAAAGGGTGCTGAGAAATTGTGTCTGAAAAGGAAGCAATAAGTCAAAAATATCTGAGAACCTCTAGTTAAGACCATTTTATGACCAAAGAAACTAAAATAAATAAGATGAGAGTTGTCTAATTTCTTCTTGTGTGACATTACAATTGCAAGAATACCAGATGTTATTTCAAATGTTAATTCAGAACAAAAATGATGCAAAAAACAAAAGAAGGGAGAAAAGCAGGTATTGTGCTAAATGAACAGAATTATAAAATACGGAGAATTTTGTACCTTTAAGTGGATATTCAAACTCTTCAGATAAGAGATGGTAGCAGCATCCCACACTGCAAACTCCCTTGATTTCAGATTTGGAAGTGAATATTCGCAGGGTATTTGGAGCAAGATCACCACAAGTATGCAGACCTACCATCAAACAATCCTTGAGGAAAAAAAAAGAATATTAATTTTAGCAATTGAAAATAAAGTCTGAATAAACATTCCAGGTGAAGATTTTCAATATTCACTTGGTCCATATAAAGTAGCCAAATTTTCTATTGAAAAAATGTTGATATTTTTTAAATTTTCATAATAAATATGGATTTTCTTTACAGGCAAGATGGCTATGACTTATGGCTGTGACTTCTTATCACAGTTGATACACTTCTGAATTCTCTAGTGACATTGTTTCCTTATAAATTTGAATTTTCTCTGATCTTTACAACTAATATTTACTTAACAACTAGCCAAAATAAAGCCTGAATATATAAAATACAGATTGCATCACTAGGAAAAACAATGATTTGAGACACATTCATCTTCTTAAGCAATTTTTAAAATTAATTTCTTCCCAAAATGCTCATTCAAACTTAAAAAGCAAATAAGTGGTACGAAGTTGACACTGCTATTCTAATACCAAAAAGACAGCATAGTCATTGTAAAAAATATTACTTTAGTATTAAATGCAATGAAAAAATTCATAAAAATTCTAACATCAATTTTATGTAACTTTTAAAGAATGTTTTATATAAAAATGATTCTTTTAATTACCCAAAATTTGATTTAAATACATTTCCATAAGTGATTTAAGTAAAATACATCGCACTTAATTTAAATATACATACATAATTGGTATATCTGCATACATTCATAGAGTTTTGATCAATACTTTAATGTTTTGGTGCCTTAACTTGCTCATTAGCAAAACAGCATAATGATATTACCTTACCTGAATAGGCAATTTAAAATCTTAAGAAAGTTAATACTGATATATGACTTATTTTAAGTTCTAGCACAGAATAAAATTTAGTATATGCTTTCCTTTCTTATCATTATAATAGTCATCACTTATAGTTTATGAATTGCATCACTAGGAAAAACAATGATTTGAGACACATTCATCTTCTTAAGCAATTTTTAAAATTAATTTCTTCCCAAAATGCTCATTCAAACTTAAAAAGTTAAAAAAAAGTAAAAAAAAGTTAAAAAAAATTTATGAATATTAAGTTATGATAATATTAATATTAAATTAAGTATATTTAAAAATCATCTTCAAAACACAGAATTTTATTCCAAATGCTATATTATATATTTATAAGAGATAGTATAAATATTATTAAAATGTTATATAATCTAAAGAATTTTTTAAAAAGCCAATTTACCTTTTCAAAGGGAAAAAAGTATCAGTTTATAGATTTGATTTGAAAGAATACTCATTTGCTTTACCTACATTCTACTTAAAGGGGATATTTTTAATATCGCACAAATACTTTGTTTTGTTAATAATTAGTTGAAGAGATTCTATGATATTACATTACAAATAAAATACAATCATGAAGGATAAATTATTATTCAGGCATACAGATATCTCTAAGCTTATCTCCTTAAAGTGGGCAGCACAAGAGTCATCATATGCAGTGCTGGGGAATTACTCAGCTGGGTACAAGAAAGGCAAGAGCCTTAAAACTCTGTCTGACCTCTATTTCATTAATAAAGGTCCTAATTTCATTCTTTAATGAATTTAAAGTCCTAATTTCATTCTTTAATGAATACATCATACAGTTAGTTAAATAACATTAGGTGGTCATTAATTAAAAATAGGCAATCATCAAATTAAACCAGAGCAAAATATGCATAAGTAATGATTAACTGTGGCTACTACTATCACCATGTTTTTGTTTTTTAATTTTTGTTTGTTTGGGGTCAGAGGGCAGAGACCTGACTCTGTGCTCATTGATCACCACTTGAGGTGTTTAGGAGACCTTATGTGATACTGGACCTGGATTGTTTGTGTGCAAGGCAAGTGACTTGTTCACTATACTATCTCTCTAGCCCCTAATTATGGTCAGTAAGTTTTTTACTCAGTACAAGACCCAAGAAATATTTTTCAGCATACAATACATATTTTTTAGTATATAATTTCAACAAGATTAAAAGAATCATGAAGATTATACTATGGAATACTACTGCTGAGAGAAATGAAAGACTAAATGAGGAGAGAATCTAGTTTTTCAGATTGTAAGACTGATTGTTAATATGACAACTTACCAAGTTGATCTATACATTCAGCAAGATCCCTATAAAAGTCCTGGTAGATTTTCTATAGAAATTATAAAACATATTCTAAAATCTATTTTAAAAAATGCAGAGGACTTAGACTAGTCAAAATAATTTTGAAAATATATACAATAGTTTTACAATAGTCTTATGATGGGCTGGAGCGATAGCAATAGCACAGCAGTAGGGCATTTGCCTTGCATGCGGTTGACCCAACAGACCCGGGTTCAATTCCTCTGCCCCTCTCGGAGAGCCTGGCAAGCTACCAAGAGTATCTTGCCTGCACAGCAAAGCCAAACATGGTAACAGTAAGTCTCACAATGGAGATGCTACTGGGTCTGCTCGATCAAATCGATAAACAAGATGAACAACGGGAGGACAGTGCTACAGTGCTAATTTCAACAAGAAACATTTATGAGAAACATTTTTTAATCCAGTCACAATTATAAAAATTTTACTTTTTTATCTTTGGTTAGGGCTGGAGCAATAGCACAGCCGTAGGGCATTTGCCTTGCATGTAGCCAACATGGCTGACCCGAGTTCGATTCCTCCGCCCCTCTCAGAGAGCCCGGCAAGCTACCGAGAGTATCTCGCCCGCACAGCAGACCCTGGCAAGCTCCCCGTGACGTATTTGATATGCCAAACACAGTAACAACAAAGTCTCCAATGAAGACGTTACTGGGCCCGCTCGAGCAAATCGATGAACAATGGGATGACTGTGGACTGTGGATCTTTGGTTAAACCAATTGGGTTTGTTTTCACCTTAAAGGAAACTTAACGTATAACCTAATTACTAATTTCATATATAGGAGAAATAATTAATGAGGAATAACAATTTCTCCTACTTAGTAATACCCAAAATATACCTAGGAAAAAGAAAAATATATCATCCATAATGACAAAAGAGTTGTCAGCTGACAAAGAATTAAAATTTTGGTATCTTCTATTTATCCAATTCATTTGTATGGAATTTCTGACAATTTAAGAAAGCTAGAGTACTGCAATTTCAAAGACTATTCTATTTCTTAAAAGACTGTGACTTAAGGCCATATATTTTCTATAAGTTCCTCTCTAACTTTGTTCTAACATAGTTACCTTTGATTGAAATTCATTCATTAAATTACTTAATACTTGTTAAGAAAGCTCAAATTTTTATGAGTATTCAGAATATACTCTTATTCATAAAAATTACATATTTAATTACCAATGCTAACATTAAACATAGTATAGCCCTAGGTAGCTCTACTTCAAATTCAAATTAAAATGTAGGGGTTTTCTTAATTTTCTGAATTTTAACAATCCCTAAACTACATAATAAGAATTTAGCTTACCAATTCTGTGCTAGTTTTATGTTTGATTAAGGAAATTTGAAATGAATGAATGACATCCTATTCTGGAAGCCATGATTTCAGCATTTGACAGGTGAGCACAAAAATAAAAGTATAAATATAATTTAATTTTCTTGACCACTTAGATTAATTAAATAAAATACATAGGTTAAATAAACTAGCAATAAAATTTAATTCTATGCTGAACAGCACTTTTATAAATCAAATTAGGGAATTCAAAAGACATATTACCTCCAGATCATTAATAATATCATGTAGCTCTGAATCAGCAGTGATAAAAGATGTTAAAGGTGAATATATAGTTGGTTCATTCAACTTTGATGTAGTCTTTCTTCTCTCTTTATGTGCTTTGGACATTTTTCTGTTGGGTGTTTGGGACAAAGAAGTAGGTTCTATAGCATTTACAGGCAAAAGGTCTATAAGAGAAAAGGCTTTTTCAAAACACAAATTTTCCCCTTGATATGAATAAACATGTAGATTTTCCTTTTTGTTTCTGATGTTAGAAATGACAGAGCCTGAAATCTGTGGCAGAAAGTCTGAGGTAAACATCTTTTCTTGATTTGCAGGATAGCTGTTACTCTCTCTTTCATTATATGCTCTGTGTTTAATTTCATCATGTACTTTCCTTTCTTTTGCCATTTTCAAGTCCAGTCCACTGACATCTAATTGTGATGAAGTATGATGGACCTTCCAGTGCTTCTTCAATTTCCTGTTTCTTTCCTCGGCTCCATGAGTGTTAGTATTTGAGGAATCAATTCCATAAACTTTTAAGCCATATTTCAGGGACAAAAAGGAGCTCAGGTAACCTTTTCCAGAACCTACATCAATTACCTACGATAAGGAAAACAGAATGAATTGATTTTTGTTTTTTTTTTTTTTGTGAGACAGCAGCAGAAAGCATTTTCAAGTATTCTTTTAAAAGCAACTAACCAGGGCCAGAGATCAGAGCTGCGTGAGCTGCAGTGATGCTATACATGCTATGTATGCAGGAGGCCTCGTCGGATCTCTGGTATTTCATTGCTCCCCAGCACTGCCTGGAGCGACCTGCACACCCCTCAAGTACCAAGCTGGGAGAGCTACTAAACATGACTCAAAATGGGAGAAGAAGAAAAAAGTAACTAACCAAATAGATGTACATACAATCTATGATTTATTTTTTGTTATTGTTTATTTGCTGTGGGGCCACACCTACTCAGGGCTTATTCTCAATTCTGTGCTCAAGGATCCTGGTGGACTCAAGAAACTAAATACAGTGCTAGGGATTGAACTCAGGCCAGTCGCAAGCGAGGCAAGCACCCTACCTGCTATACTAACACTCCGGGCCTCTAAGGATGCATTTTTATTTTAAGCTTTTAACTCTAAGTAAAAAACCAACCACTTTCAATGTAGCAAGTAAAGGGAAATGTAATAAATATTGGAAAGAAATAAACTATTAAACTTAGCATGTGCCAATATATAGGGTTATCAGAAATTAATAACAATAGAGACGCATATAATATTCATATACCCTACAGTGAAAAATACGTAAGAGGACCTGGAGAGAAAGTACAATGGGTAGGGTATTTTTCCTTGCCCTGTACTAACCCAGGTTCAATTCCCAGAGCTACATACAGTCTCCCAAACACGGCCAGGAGAGATACCTTAGCACAGAGCCAGGAGCAAGCACTAAGCATAATCAGATATGACTCAGAATTTTCAAAGATTTATTCGTGTTTTATGGTCCAATATGGGAACATAACACAGTTTAATAATTCAAAACCATTTGGGTAAACATTTGGTTTTTTATAAGTTTCCTATTACTTGGAACATACTTGTATATAACTTTTTAATTTTTTTGGTCATACCCAGTGTTGTGCAGGGGTTATTTCTGGCTCTGTGTTCAGGAATTACTCCTGCCATGTTTAGGGAACCATATGGGGTGCCAGGGATCAAACCTAGGTCAGCAACATGCAAGGCAAATGCCCTTCCAACTATACAATCTCTCCAGCACAACTTATATATATTTTCTAATTTCTTATGTCCAAAAGTTTCTATAGAGAAGAATATACATTTAGAAGTTGACTGATGAATCGGTGTATTAAATTATTCAGGTTTCCAAAATACCAAATTACTTTTTAAAATGCTTTGGGTCATCAGTACCGCAGGCAAGGTTCAATCCCCTGTACCACCAATGGTCCTCCAAACCTGACAAGGAATGGTCCCTGAGGACAGAGTAAGGGATAAATCCTGAGCGCTACAGGTCCCAAAATGAAAATTTGAATTAATAAATAAACAAATGAAATATCTGCCTCAATGGACACTCCAGCCAATGTGTATAAGCATGCCCCTTATAAAGAGACATGAGGAGACTTTACAAGGTGATGAAAATATCATATACCTTGATTATTATGGTTGACTATATACACTAACAAAATTCATCAAGCTGTACAATTAGCAGGAGTGCATATATATTGCAATTAAGTGAGAATTATAGACTATTATAAGAAAATAAAATTTGTACAGTATCAAAGCTGGCAATAATTTCAACACCTGAAAATACAGCAAAATACTCTTACTATTACCTGCTTTATTCCACAGTAATCAGCAAGACTATTGATCAGCTCAGACATTGCTTGAACTTCATGAGACTTTTTTACATTCATAAACTCATCGGGTTTCACATTTTCACCTAAACAAAAATAAATCAAAATGAAACTACTGCTACTGAAGAAGCAAAATATAGCAAGTAATAAATTATGTTCATGTTTCTTATAATTAAATATAAAATTATACAAATTCTATTGTAATATAGGTATACTAGGTCTAGCAATAAATTGAGAATACATTAGAAATAATATATAGGAATAATATATTGCTTTGAAATGCCTAAAATATACATAAACATATAATAATCATACATACCAGTTCTCTGTTTTTTATTTCCTCCAAGGGTTACTAATAACTGCTCAATAGGAGTACAAATTCCCAAGTTTTGTATAGAATAATACTTCGCAGTCATAGCAAAGGCTTCCACACTCACCAACTTCTGGGAAGTTTCACAAAATATTTTGGGGAAATCTTTAATATCTAAAATAATCAGGATTTATAAAAATGTTAGCAATCATTAAAAATGGCTAATTTTATAAGATTAAGAAAATAATATATTAAACCCACTGGCTCCTTATATAAACTGTATTAATTTCATTTTGGTTACATTTTAGCAATATCTCTAGTAGTTACATTATATTTAAATATTAAATATTTAAACTACTTATAGTACCTGGTTTTCTCATAATACTGTATACAATTATATTTTTAACATCAAATTTTGGCTAATTTTTTGGGATGTTGTTCTAACAACCAAAAAGAAAAGTTAAAAATCTTGCTAAATGTAATGTAATTATAAGATACTCTACAACTGTGATGTTACAGGTGGTCAATTCTCAGAACACTGCTCCTCTTGCATGTAGGACAATGTCAACATCCCCAGTGATATAAATGTTGCTGTTAAACATTTGTGTTGTTGTTGTTAAAATGTTGCATTGTTTAGGTAATATAAAATAGTGTATGTGGGTGTACTTTCTGTTTGCAGTATTAGTTTTTAAAACGTATTAGATTAGGATCAAATCAAAACGTTCATTTTCTTCCCACAGTCAGTTTTAAATAGTACAATCTCTAAGTTTAATGTAAAGATCACAGATCACTGTTACTGTCCTCCTGTTGTTAATCGATTTGCTCAAGCGGGCCCAGAAACGTCTCCATTGTGAAACTTGTTGTTGTGTTTGGAATGTCGAATATGCAACACGGGTAGGTTGCCCAGGCTCTCCGAAGGGCGTAGGAATCAAACCTGGGTTGGTCGGGTTGGCCACGTGCAAGGCAAACGCCTTACCCACTGTGCTATCACTCCAACCCAGAGATCACAGGATAGCTTCCAAATATTCATTTACATGTGTATAGGAATCGGATGCACTGTTTGCAAATATCTGGTGTCCTTCTCTGTGAAATACTTACACACTCTACTGAACTATCTTAGTATAGTACATCCCACCAAGGGAAACTATGCCATTTTTTTCAGGAGAAGTATGAATAATATCAAGGGTCACCAGATTTCCTTTCTTCCAATACTTGTAACTGTTGAAGCATGTGTTGAGATAAACTTCCCTCAGCTGGCATCTCTGTGTGACTGGGACAGGACATCACTGCGGTCACGACAAAGGCTGTGCAAATCATGTCAAAGTAGACTTTGTTCCCTTTAGTGACTGAGTTTTAGACTGACTGCACCACAGGCTGGCCAATTCTCATGCACGTGTGCTGGAATGCTGATGCCTTGCTCTTTATTTGTTCAACCTCATTTTTCTCCAGCCATTTAAATGAATGCTTACTTATGAAGGTTAAAATAAAGGCATTTCCCGTTTGCCAGTAATGGCTTAGAGAAATGCTCTGAACATAGCAGTTAAGCTAAGGAGTCCACTTAGGTCCATTCACTGAAAATAATTTTTAATAATTTATAAAAACATAACTAGTGGTTAAATGGGTAAGATGAATGTTCAATTTACAAGAGTCTAGGGCAATCCAAGGAAGAACGTTGGTTCTGCCAGAAAAATCATTATATGATACGAAATCTATCCTAATATTGCTGATCTGCTATTGTTACTTATGGAATTACAGAAGATCACTTTAGCATAATGAGTAACAATGCTCCCTGGCAAATATGGGGAGCAAGCAAACTGATGAAGATTAGCAGAATTCTAAATAAAAACTGTCTTTAGGGTCGGAACGATAATTCAGTGGATAGGGCACTTGCCTTGGAAGCAGCTGACCAGGGTTCAATCCTTGGCACCCTGTCTGATTCCCCAAACCCACCAGGAGTGACCCCTGCGCCAGAAGTAAGTACTGAGCTCTACCAGGTGTGGACCAAAAACAAAAAAAGAACAACAATTTAAAAAAAAATCTGGGGTTGGAGTAACAGCACAGTAGGTAGGGCATTTGCCTTGCACGCGGCTTACCCGGGTTCAATTACAAGATCCCATACGGTCCCCTGAACCAGGAGTAATTCCTGAGTGCAGAGCCAGGAGTAACCCCTGTGCATCGCCGGGTGTAACCCAAAAAGAAGGAAAAAAAATCTGTGTGTTTAACATTATATTATTCCAAAGCTAATCTATATTAAGTCAGAGTAATGTGGATCATTAATTAGTAAGAACAAAATCAGCAGAGATGTGTAACATCCATTTCTGAATCAATTAAACAAAAATTTAAACTATAAAAGTATATAGTGAATTCATTTAAGATATATTTTGTATATTACACAGTTTCTTGGACATCTTACAAACTGAATCTACAAATAGAGCCAAAAGTAATAAAATCTACATCAAAATATTTAGGCAGGATACAGAAGGGAAAACTCAGTCAACAATTAAGTGAGACTCTCAGATTTAAGGGCAGTCTCAACATCCCTAAGTTCCAGGGCAGCAATTTCTTAAAGTGTGATAGAATAAGAGTATTAAATCTCAAAGTGCAGAGGGACTATTATACAAGTCAGTTATTGGACAATGTTGCCAACAGAAAGATATGTGATGTTTCTGTTGGAAAAGTAAAAGTTCAGATCACCTTAACCATTCTACTGAAAATGTTGGAAAAATTCAACATGAATTGAATGCTATTAACTTTTAATTATAGGTCTCCCAATAATTCCAGGAATTTGGAGATCAAAATTCCAAAGACAGATGTTTGACAGTAATTTTTTTTAAAAGGCAGTATCTAGTACAATTTAGGGTTACAGCCTGTAATCACTGTAATCAGAACGTCTAAGAACTCTGTGAAAAACTATTTTTAATTATACAAATATAAGTTTTTTTTTTCAAATTATTCAGCCTGCAACTTCCATTACTTTTATATTCTGTGCTGTTTAGAGGGGAAGAGATGCCCAATAATCTTGTGTTTCATCTGTGAAACTGTAAGTTAGATGGCAATGGATACCCGGTCTATAAACCTCCTAGGACTTCCCCTTATGGGCATAATGAACTTGGGCTTGGCGTCAAGTAAAACTGAAAACCACTCTGTCACTGAACTTATATTTAGCTAATTCGTAATTAGATTTTTCACACAGGATTTGCTTTTAATTTATTGTCCACTGCACCTGCATATTTTGTGACATGATTATTTTGCCAACATCTCCCTCTACTGGAAGTAAATGTTTTGCTCTATTACATGCCTTGTCTTAACTTTTTGTACATGTTAAATCACTATTCCATAGAGATTTCATACTCCATCAGTTAATTAGTCACAAGGGACAGTGGGAAAGAGTCAGGGGACAAGTGGTTTTTCATAAATATGAGGTCATGGTATCTCTATTATTTTTTAAAAAACTGAGCTTAATTTACAGGGAAAGAAAAAAAGTTATTCGTAAGCATAGTGGATAATAAAAATCTCAAGGTGGAGCAATAATGTTTTAAAGCCAAACACAAACAATAAAAGGATATATATTTACATTGAATAAATAAAATTGCAAAACTGAATTATGCTCTAGCACTCTGAGAAAGTACTGTTAAGATTCACAGTATCTCATCAACATTATTGCTAATATCACTTGCATATATATTATGTTAGGCATTATGAGAAATTATTTACATTTAGTCAAATTATCATAATCCAGTTGCACAGTGGTTTTTATTCCACTTTCAGGAGTAAAAGTCTTAGAGAGACTGCAAGTTCACCAAGTTTGCTCAGACACCAAGTGGAAAGACATTTGAACCAAAGCAGTGTTAAGATACTACTCTCCATACACGTATTTGATTAGAAAGCCACAAAAGTTTAGTAGACACGAAATGAAATTTGGAAAGAGAGAAGTTAACCAAAACTCTAGGCAGATCTGACTGTCAGAATCTGACTTAGCAAGAACTCTTCTGGCAGAGATCAATACATGTAAGGATCTCAAGACAGATCATACAAACTTGGTTTATGTCTTAATCCTTTTACTTTCTTCGCTTTCCTCAACACCTCCCTCTCTACCAGAAGTGATTTTTAAAGTTTTAAGACATTTAAAAAAGGTGGTTTCTACATATAAAACAACTGATAAATCTGAAAAGTCTTGTAAGATTTTGTATAGGCATGGCTCAAAGATGAGGGTTTGTTGTGGAGCAGTCCAGTAAAGGCTCACAATTAAAGAATGTGACTAATTTCTAGTTATTTTTAAGTAAACACACACAGAGACATACATGCATATATAATTATATGTATATAGTGTAAGTGTTCAATAGTATGTCTAAAACATACATGCTTAATTAAAAATACATTTTAAAATATGCTGTTAGTTCACTAATTATCTTAGCTAAATTTCCGGATAATTTGAACTGGCTACAGCTTTAAATCAGTATTGCAGGCACACTGTTCGCTTTTATACTGCAGAGACAATTTCCTCTCTTAAATATGATAAACAACTAACTCTTCTAAGTTTCCTCAACTCTCCCAAATCTCACAAAATTAGAGCTGGAGTATAGCTCTAAATTACATTTGATTTAAGGAAATGGTGTGGCTGTTTTTATTTTCTGTTCAAACCTATCGAAAACCTTATTCATCCATTTAAGCAATGTGGCTGTTGTTTCGCTTTTTCATCATTCATGTGTTCATAAAATAAGACTTTTAATTTAATTTCTTTCTAGAACTTTTCCTTTTCACTCACTACTTGTAGCTGTTTGTGAGCTTTTAATCTAGTGTTTACCCTGTCTTGACTTTCACATGACTTATTCACTAAGTTTTAATCATTTCTAGCTTTTAATTAAAACTGACAGATATAAACTTCTTCAATTTGAATAAATAGAGAGCACTGGAGGGTAACCGAATGGCTTAATTTTAATATTCAATGTCACTGTCCCTGTCCTATCATTGTTCATCGATTTGCTCAAGTGGGCCCAATAATGTCTCCATTGTGAGTCTTGTTGTTACTGTGTTTGGCATATCAAAAATATCTCGGGTAGCTTGCCAGGCTTTGCCGTGTGGGCAAGATACTCTCTGTAACTTGCCAGGCTCTCCAAGAGGGGCAGAGGAATTGAACCCGGGTCTGTCAGGTTGGCTGCGTGCAAGGCAAACAC